AGAGGAGCAGTGAGCAGAAGGGGAGCAGCTTATGCTGCGACAGGAAATTCTATGGGGATGACAAAAGCAGACTCAATCCTGCTCATGACCAGGTGGTGTTCCTCTTTCACCTACAGATGAGGTGAACGAATAGTTATGCTTTCTCTTTGGGGATGACTTACATTGCCTTCCAAGTGCGTATACTGGGGTGGGCAACACAAACCTACATGATCATTTGGAACACAGCATCAGGGAACTCAATAAAGGTGAAAAGGGCATCACATGGTGCCTATTCCTAGAAAGTCCCTTGGAGGACTACAACCTGGACTGCTGTTTTGTTTGACTGTTTGTGGAGGAGAGAGTGAGATTCCTCGTATGCCCTTTTTACCACTATTTCTGGCATCCTGTCTTGACATCCAAATCTTCTGCGAGCGTGTAAGGAAGAGCAATGAAGTGAATTGGAAACGTGATGTCAACTCCATTTGCTATGATAACTCTCACTTAACGTAAACTATGAAGAGCAACTGGCATCCTAAATCAATCTGTTCCCCTTTTGCCTAGCTAATTCCATACACATCTCTATAGAATTATGTCGACAGAGATATAAATGGCCCAATTCTCTTTCTGATTTAAAGAAGCAGGAGCTTTTGTGTGTCAGTTTCCCTGGAACAAACCAAGTTTATAGCTTAAGTTGGTAGTATTTATAGCATCATTAACAAAGACAGTGGAGCTATAAACCAGATTTAGAGAGATTAAAATACGGTTTTGAGGACCCCACTTTTCAGGCCAAATATTTTACAAGTAGGGATTTTCAATTACTGAATTATCTGATCCTGTGTGTTCTTCTGGTCCTCAGGTCCTTTGTTTCTGGATCTAGAGATCAGACTTTTCAGTGGTGTGGATTGGTTTTTGTTTCTTTGTTTGTTTTTTTTTTTTTAATTGTTTTGTTTCTTTTATTTTTTTTTCCTCCTTTTTTTTTTTTTTTAACAGCGGCTGACTGTGAAAAGGCCATGACTGGTGTCAGAGCATTCAGTGAAGCATTTACCTTGGTGATTTTTTTAAGCAATGTAGGATATACTGCCCTGTGGTAAAGTCAACTCCCCTAAAGTCAAGATGCCACTTATTTCAGCAGAAAGCCATCTGGGTCAGCTTAAATCACCAATGAAGTGAGGTTATTCTTAAACCAGTTTTGTAGGAGGACACCTGCCCAGGCCCCAGGGCATGTGCTCAGGCTCATTTCTAAATTAAAATGTTTTGAAGGAAAAGTAATCAGAATCTGAAAATATTTGCCTGTGATTAAATTTGGAATTCATGGATAATTAACTGGGGAAAAAAAAAAGCTATCTGCAGATGCTGAATTCAGCATGTGTCAGTAGAGCTCCAAAGGCACATCCCTCCTAGAGTCTTCAAGGCTGCTCTTCTGGGGTCGTCATGCAATATTTTGGGAAGACACTACCTGAGCACAAAGTACAGAAAGTAAAGATAAGACATAACATCAGGGCTCTACTTAGAGTTATCTTTTATTCCTCTGACCTTGTGAAGCCACCTTTAGAGAGCTATTCAAGTTGTTAGAAATCTATTTGCAGATAGAAAAGAGCAGTTCCTGCTGGGAGTTTTGCTGTGCTCCAAGAAACTTCTGTTGAGTTCCTGAATAGTGGGGAAGATCCTAATTGCTTTTAACCATCTCTGTCCTCTCCCCTGCTTTGTTAACTTTTCTCTGCTTTCGACTCCTGAGATATTCTGAACAGCCTTTCACCTTTCAGAGGAAGCAGTGGAACTGATACCAAGATCTCCACAGGCAACACTTTGCGGTGTACCTGTTTTATTGATCTTAACCTGAAGAACAAATCTACGTATTCTCAAGATCTACGTCCTGGTATTCTTTCTCTTAGCTATTTAATTTCAAATAAAGAGGTTTCCTGTCACAGTTCTTGCTTTTGCCCCCACTATGTATGGTTGTATTTTTATTTAGGTGGGATGCAATTGTGACCATACTGCAGTCAGCAAGCAGCACTAGAGTGGCTGAGCTGCTGTTCTATTGGACTCTCTAACAATATCTGTAACAGATATAGGTGTTGTGGAACTAATCAGCCCCACTTTGAAGATGCTAAGCCTTTACACTGCTTTGGTCTTCCCTCTGCAAGCAGCTTCTCTGTGGTAGAAGGGATTTGCAGCATTAGCTTCCCCCAAAGAACAAAACAAATACAAAGGACTTCTTAAATAGGATACATCCTTATCCCAGATTAAGGTGAGATACATCCCTTGAGAAAGTGATGTATCAATAAATTAGCAAAATAAGCACGATTGCCGTCCAATACAAAAAAAATGGTGTTAATCCTCTTTTAAGATGAAGGCAAAATCTCTTTGGTTATATGGGCAGAGGACAGACAGAGGGGCAGTAATGACCCTGTCTGCAGAATTAGTGATGCTGCTACTGGAACACTGCTTGCGCTTCAAAAGCACGGTGAAGAACTGAAGGAAATTCAGACAAGCGCTGCATAAATGGTTTGAGATCTGCAAAAGCAAGCTTTTTAATGAGAAACTAAGGATGCTTGATACATTTTAAATCATCAACCCAAGGCTCATTAGTCGAGCAGGCAGATGTTAATTTTGACATCCCAAGGCTGAGTGAACAGAGCCTGGTTTCTTACTCTGTGGAAGTCAGGTATAGCCTGAGCAGCAACAAGACGACAGGTCTGGGGTTTGGGCATGCTGCTCCTCCTGCTCGTGGGGGACAGGAGGAATGGGGCTGATGACTGCTGTTCTGGAAGGAGGCTTTTTCTCACCCTGGCAGTATTTATTATCACACAAATGATTCATTTGCTCAGAAGAGGCTGATACCTGGTGATTTTACATGATCGTAGACATGTAAATTCTAATGTCTGTGATGCTATTGCCTTTTCTCTGGCCTGCCCCTAGAAGCTACTTAATCTGTCTGAGTCTAAGGGAACATCCCTACAGCTCCAAAGGGGAGCAGAATGGTACCTAAGTCTCCTAACACAGAACTGTAACATGGCCACAGCATACCCAGGAAATCAGGCCAGCAGCATACCCTGAGGACTGAGTTAGTCCTGTGGCATATACTTACTTTTTCCTCCCTTGGGACCAAGTTTTATCTCTTCTAAGAAATTTCTCCTTTGAAATATTCTAAGGAGCCCAGACAGATATAATCTTTCTTCCTGAAATTTATTCTTTTGCTTCATTATTTAAGAGACCATCTGATCATTCTTCTCAATTAAAATAAGTGTTTTTCATTCAGCTCCTTGGAGATGCAAATGTCTCTTGCTAGAGCAAAGTCCTTGACTAGCTAATTAATAACTCCTTGCTTCTATGAGTTGGGAAAAGTCTCCCTATTTCTTCTCTTTTTTTGACTCTGATGTGGTGAAATGTATCTTATAGTCTCTAACACTAGGTATATGTAAAACATGTCATTACAAATACCTAACCATGATAAATGGGCTCTTGACTGAATGCACACCCAATGGTGATTAATCGCTTTGGGGTGATGGGACCCCAGCAAGATTCTACTAAGCATGTGAGGCAGTCACCCCATTGCACAGTTACACCCAAGGAGGATAGAGAGCAGTGATGGATTCAAGAGATTTTGATATTTCAGTGACTGTGAAGGCTATTGTTATGGCACCATAAGCAGAGTGGGAAATTCAAAAATTAGGTTATATCATATGTAAACCACACCCAGTCTTAGCAAACAGCATTATAGCATTTTACCAAGGTTTGCTGCTGAGACAATTCCAGGCAAGTATAAAGGCAACTATTTTCTGTAAAAGCTTTGCTGTAAACTGTGTACTTTCTGTCATGTCTTTTATTCTTGTCTTATATGGAGGTGTTTTTCAGAATTAGCAGGCATACAATTCAGTAAATGTGTTACTGAAACTATCACACTGAATAGGGCTTATTGTTAATAAATTTGCTGGGTTTTATTTTGCACTGGATGTTTTGTGACATTGTTAAGAGTTTTTTACCATCATTGATGTGCTGTTTCTGTGTATTATTGTCATAGGGAAGTACAGATTATTAAAGGAATATTTAGATTCTCTTTGTTTTTTTGTTGTTGGGTTTTTGTCATTGTTGTTGGTTTTTTTTTTTTCCTCCAGATTTTTTCTAATGTCAGTGGGCAAAATAGATCTTGTCTTAAAAAACTGTGTACCTTAGCACATCAGTATTCACCAATGCTGGTTTTGGATAAAAAATTACCTCAGGTTGCTCTGGTTCTTTCCTGAGCTGAAGTTTCTTAGCTTATTTCTCTATAGTCTTAACAACTTCTGCAGCGTAAGCAGCACAACAATAAAAATCTTAAAGAAAGTGGAATACTTGTCTTTGTTTTTCACAAAGTACTGAGGTGATCTATGCATGAACTAGCAGAACCATGCAGCAAACTGTCTGGACTCCCCATTTAGTAGCATGGATGACTCCCACTATAGGCAGATAGTCTCAGGGTAGCCAAAGAGCCATGGACCATCTGCCTCTTTCACCTATCCTTAAGCTTTGCAAAACCAACTGGCTGTTGCCGTAAGGGAAGTGCTAGTGGTGATTTTACGGGACCTCCTTTCTGCAGCAGCAGTTGCTCTGCTGTGACAGCAAGCTCATCTCCTCACTCTCTACTTTTTGCAGCGAGGGGCAGCCTCATTCCCTAGCTTTAGAGGGACCAGGTTCTGGGTGAATAGAAAGTAGAGAAGACACACAGAAAAATCACACACACAAAGATCAACTTTAAATCCAATTGTGCATGTCAGACAACTTATAAAAGTATGATATCACTGACTAATTATTAAGCAAGATGCGTAATTTTAAAGGCTGAATCTTGTGGAGGTATAAAAAACCCACTGACATTTTTTGTCCTCTGTCTTTCTTTAAAGAGCAGCTAAATTCTGTTGACCTTTTTATGTGATTGAATTGAAAAGTTTTAAAGCCCCAGAATTTGTTTTTTTAAAGTCAATCAAAATTTTGGCATTTCAGTATCCTAATTTTCATCACCATAAAGATCAATACTACCATCCATCTCTGTTTGTGGTATTTTATTTCCTCCAGAGGCTGTCTGGAGTGTCAAAGAAGATCTCTGTCAATAAGATTTCAATAAGAAACAGCAGAAAAATATTTGTTGCAACTGATTATTAGACGTCCTTTCTCTCAAACCTTTCACAGAGAAATGTAGAGGAGCTCATGAGCCTAACAGCAAACATAAAGTCTGCAGCAGACAAGTTACCTGAGTTATTGGGTTTTTAGATGACATTATTCTGAGATGATTTTCTGAAATAAAATGCCATCTACTTCTATTTAGTTTTCCTTGTTTCCTTCTCCAAGAAAGCACTGAGAAAAACATGCTTGTTCAGAAAGGTAGTTCCTTTGAGGCCTGTTATTTTCCTCCATCTCTCTAAAAAGACAAGATCTGAATTTGTTAGTGAGTTATCAGACAATGCAATATACTGCTCATCCAAGGAGCCAAATAAATGCACTTTCATTTGATACCTCTTGACATAGCTGAACATTTGAATTCTGAAGGCTGATTTACCAGAAGGCTTCTGGGGCCACAGCCAGGAGCAGTGACCCCAGAAACGGTTACATTTGCAAATGATCTGCCCTGTTTTCTCCAAGGGAGGTGTATTCACATTTCATAACGCTACAGTGTATATTGCACTGTATTACCCCTCCTTATTAATGCAATAGGGGGTAAGATGCATCCTGGACAAAAAGAATCAGGATGAAACAAGGCTTTCAAACTTTTCCATTATCACATAAGAATGTGATCATTTCACAGCATTTCAACAATACTGGCTGGCAGTCAAAAGATACATACATCAAGTCAGTGTCAGAGATTTAATAGTTCATAATATTTTAATAATTTGAGTATATTACATTATTATAAGGGTACTATAACATACTAACATTGTTCTCAATTAACACATGAGAAAGATACTCCCTGCAATTTGCTTATATGGAATTTTTTTGGACTCAACCTTATTCTGAGTGGAAGCCTTGATTTTCAAAAGGCCTTTGCAATATGTCCTTTTGGTTTAAAGAGAGCTGTAGTATCTGCTCAGGGATCAATAGCTGTGGGGAAATATTATCACAAATACAGAGGGATCTGATTAGACAAGTGTTGCCTAACTTATGGCACAGTTCAAATTGCAACTAATATTTTAAAAAGTTGCAATTTAAAAGATCTTGATTCTGTGTTTGGTTTGAGTAACCATAGGTAACCGAGCAAATTCAGACTTGTTATTCTTCTCAACTGACCTCTTGATTACTAAAGTCTATTTAAAATAATAATATAACAATTTAAATTTGGAGTTTTTCCCAAGGACCGAAGGGCTTGCCGTTTAAAAATCTCATTGTAAAATCAAAATGAAATTCATTATGTTGTAATTCAAAGCCCAATGGCAGCAAATTTCTATATTCCATAAAGCTGTTAAGGTCCTTTGATAGTTGAATTAAAGCTTACTAAAATCAAAATTAAGGAGAAGACTGTGTGTAAAATGCTAGATAATCTCCTAAGTGTGAGTATGAATTTCATGTCCCTTACGAACGGGATGCATGAGATGCAGGCTTCAAATTATGGGAGAACATGACTGGGATACTCCACACTTCCTGTGATAAACTTGTTTTAGAGAAGAACTATACTCAGTGGGACATTACGAGGTACCCTGTGTGACACCAGACTTTGCAAGTCTTTGGTTGCAAAGATTTTGCCAAATGCTGGGTGTCCCTTTTGCCTGCAGCACTCTCACAGTCAGGAGCTGAAACCAGAGGTCACACTGGATATACTGGGTGAGAAACCAGTGGGGATGCCCAGGGCTTCTGGTGGTTGTGAGGTCAGTGTTTCCAGACCTAGCTTGGTAGAATCATCCATTTTATTAAGAACAACCAGCACCTACTTGTTGGGTCAAAGGACACTTTAGCCTAAGCATGCAGGCGCCATATGAAAACTAAAGATCCAAGCCCACAATACTAAATATTTAATACCCAGTCATATTTTGACACTCTTTCAAGCCCTTGTTGCTGTGCTCAGCAGAAAGGCTGACAGCTGAGTGGATGTGGAAAAGGAAGTGTACTCTCAAATCTACAAACAGTCTGACTAGTTCAAGGACAAACAACTTTAACGGGGTTGAAAAGTTTATGTTGTCTCTGTGTCAACTCCGGAAGTTTGCAGATAAATAAAGAGTTCAGAATCCAGTGGCTGTCAACAGATTTTTCTAAGTACTAAATCTACAGTGCTACACTTGGAAAAGTGCATTTATCACAGACAAAACTGCATTTCTGAAAAACATTTACTAAAGAAGACTGACTACAGCTTTCAGTGGGCTTGACAAGATTTCATATTTTGTTTTTCATCTTTACCAAGTGCATTAATAGCTTTTAAACCTAAATGACATGAGTGCTAGGTATCTCAGCAGTGTATTAGAGATGGAGAAAACAGAATTCTGTGGCTTTGTGTACATGCCTGCTTATCAGGTGAAAAGGCAAAGTGAATAGGACTGTTTAAAAATCAGGACTCTCCCCTCAGTCTAAACATATTAATAAAGAAGTTTGCAGTTAATCAGCTCAAATTCTAATTAATTTTGCATCACCCAGCTGATATTTCTCACTATATCTTAAATAGTTGAATGGTTGAGTGTTCCTGAAAATATCTTCAAATCAGAAAAAAAACACAAGAAATCAGTTCTCGGGTTGCATTAGTTAGTATGCTTTTGTCAGTGCCATTTTCACAAGTTCACCATTTTTGCTATGTAAGTTTTTTGTTTGCTTGATCAGACACCAGAAACATACCATGTGGGCAAATGTCCAGTAATGAGATGCAAAAGCGAACAATCTATGAATGACTCAAGCTATGAAAAATCATTTATTCTCACTATCTATCTTGTGAACATTTACAAACAGCAAAACTGAACTTGAAGGGCTAGACCCGAACCCCTTAAAAGCCCAAAACACTGAGACTACATCAAAACAGTGAACCAAGTGGAAAAAACACAATCTTTCCTAAAATCTTTTCCAAATGCAATCACTATTCAAAACTGATTAATGCTTTTATTAGTGAGTATACCTAATTCTAGGCAGCAACTCGTGTTTTGTTTTTTTTGTTTGCTGTGACAGTGTGATACAATATGGCTGGTTGCCTAACACAACTAAGAGAAACGAAAATAGCTTCAAGTAAAATATTTTTTCCCAGCTGAGCCCCACATGAGTGCTGGTTGATCTTTCTTTCTCTCAAGTTCAGACAGTCATTTTCATGCACATTACTTTTTTATTCAGACACCAGAGATTGTTTAATGAGGTGCCTGAGGTGCAATATCTTTACTTTGAAGAAAGTTAAACCACCTTCTACAACAAGATGTAGTGTTGGTTTGCTCTGTGTGTATGTGTTTACTTTATTGCCATCATCACACCATTTTGTATACTTATCCTACTCAGGCTACTATTCCAGGCCCTGCACCAACATAACTGTTGGTACAGGCCAGCAATTGTGACTCACTTGTTGTGGAGGCTAACAAATGGGAATATCTTTCTATATCATCCAGTCTAGGGCCAAGGAACAGGAATTCTGGACTGGGCATTGAGTCCCTGTACAGAGAAGATGGGGAATATCTGGAAGCTGGGCAGCAGAACTGGTCTTCCAAGCTGAATACAAGCAGGTAGTTTCTGAAAGGATGAGCTAGGTGTGTGAGTGAGACAGCTTCCAGGGAAGGAGGCAGCTGCTTTATGGAGCAGTTTACACCTGAGGTGAGTTATATCAGATTATTTTAGCAGTTTGATTAAACCAGAAGAGGTTGTTTCCAGCACAGTCTTTTGGTTCTAAACAACAACAGTTTGGTTGTATGTTTTTCAAACCAAGCATACTGTCCCTGCAGAGAGTCGGGACTTCTCACAGACTGGGACCAAAGTTTGCTTTTGTCTGCTCTCTACAGGAATAAGGAAAATTTGCATCTGATTTTGACAGTGAGCTCTGCCTAAAGGATATGCATTAAGATTACTGTGTTTTCATCAGCATGCTCAAAGGAGATAAATGAGTGTGTTCTGCTTTGTGGCAGGTCTCGTTTCAAACAGGGATAAAAGGAGTTTGGTGGACATACCCAGTAGGACACATGTTCAACTTTGCAGTGACATGATCATCAATCTTAGTCCGCCAGTCACTACTCCCCACACCTGGTGAGTTGTTCAGAGAGAGAACGCAAAGGCATTTGCTGAACAGGACTAAAAACTCTTTATGCTGTAGGAGACTAAAGTGACAATAAGGTTGTATTGCATATTCCATATGCCACTTCCTTGCCAACCAGGGAGGATGTACTGTGTCCTTCCTTTGTTTGCAATAACACTCTGAACAGCAACTTTTGAGCAGGCAGGCACTTCTGGAAAGCTTTGCAGATATTTTTCTTTCCTTAAGTCTTGCTGAGAAAGATTAGGAATACTCTTACAAATGAGCAACTCCCTAAAATACAGGCCAAGACAGCAGATACTCTTATTAAATTAACCTTATTCCTCTCTGTGGAGCCCTTCACTCTGACCAGTTGAGTGCATTTTATTTTTATTATATTAGAATCCACTGTAAAGAGTTATGTTAGAGTGATTTGTTTTTTATTTTTTTTTCAACAAACCTACTCACCATCTGCATTTGGCAAAACTCGCTGACATCAGTCTTTGTTGCTTAGCAATAAATACTTGTGTTGACTCCAGCCACAAACAATGTTCATTACTTTGTCATTCAGACATTTCACACAGGCTTTATGGCCTCAGAAACCATTTATTTACACTGGCTTTCTTGAAAGAGGGGGAAGAGCTGAAAAACAAATGTGTAAAATGAGAGGAAAGGCACACTGATCTTTAAAGTCATTAGACACAAATAGCAAAGAACCTGTAGTAGATCCACAAGCTCAATAACAAGGAAAAAAGTACCTAGAAGAAATCAGTGCAATACTATTACTATAAAATATTAAAGCTGTTGTAGAGCTTGCCAGACATCAACAATCTTAAACAATATTAAAGTGTGTGCTTTGTAATGGTGTCAATGATCACATTCCATCAATATGTGCTAATCAAGATGCAATAATCAGCAAGAATATCGGATGTAAGAATGTCCTTTGGGCTTTTGTTCTTTGTCTGTATGTAATCAGAAAGTTTTCAAATTTGAGTGAAGAATCTAAAAAATTTACATTTCTATAAAGTTCTATGGTAATTGTCTTGCTACTCATAACTTCAGATTTATTTGAATTTGGGAAGAACTTTTATAGTTAGTGATAGCTCAGAATTAAACTGTTGAAACCTTTGAGGAAAGTTTTTATTTATGGAAAGTTAGTAGAAGAAATGCTAAAAGCTGCACAATTGTAATTGCTTTGCTTATTTAGCAGTCACTATGACCCAATTCTGTTGAGACATCTAATTTTAAAATATTAACCTTTGGTACTCAGACTAGAAAAAAAATGGATTAGGAGGCTCCAAAAAATCACAATTAGAATTGAAAATTAAATGGGTCACTTGTTGTAGAGCATGTTACATTTAATAGATGAACAAGCTAACAAATGAATATGACAATGAGTCATCTGAAGTCAGTAAACAGCACACTGTTGGAATGTCAGATGATTTATAAAACGTTTAGTTTTTGCTTTTATTTGTGGGCATATTATGCAAAATAAATTGATCATTTTACATGGGTAGCTGCAAAAATGCAGAAAAGTACTTCAGAATATGCGATAACAAATCTGTAGGAACAGTGTCCACTAAAAAACATACAAAATACTTGCCATACTTTTCAAGGAATGACAAAGAAAACTCCCCAAAGCTGAGCTTAATTCAGGCATTGAATTTGAGACCCAAAATCTCTTTCTGTTTTAAAGGTGATGATTTGATCCTGATCTGGCAATAGAAAGTTTTGTTTTCAGTCTTAAGCAAAATAATAATTAAAGTGGTCAAGAACTATGAATGGGGCATTAAGAGTTAGGCTGCTGGTGAAGTACAGTGACCTTAACAGATGCTACAGTCATATATAAGAGAGATTGTGCCTGAACTGCTGATCAGGCATGTTTAAAGACAAAGCTGCTGTGCAACTTCCAAGACCAGAATGAGAGACTGGAAAGTGAATGTTGTTACAAAAGTCACATTGTCTCAAAATGAGCATCAAGCTGAGAAGGAAAAGCGCCTCTTCCTTGTCAGCCTTAAATCGAGACATAATTCAAGTTCCCCACTTGGAAGGGACAATGCCACTGAGCCAGTGCAATACTAACCTGAATTGCTCTGGGAAGGGCAAGATCATGTTGCCCAGACACTGCCGCAGAGATCCCGATTTTCAGCTTTTAATGACTGGTCCTGCTCACTAGGATGTTCTTTGGGATTCTGTAAGTCAGCAATGCATTGTGTTGCATGGCGATGCTTAGTCTGCTTAAATGATGTGAAACAGGCAACCTTTATAGCTGTCTGGATGGGTGTTCAGTTCAAACATATGCAGCTGTTAAGTGCTGCAAACTTGAAAGTCTGACCTTCAGCCCTTTTGGAAATATCCCCTATTAAATACAACACAATGCTGAAATAGAAAGTGAAATATAAAGGAAGCTGCACTGAAACAAGAGGAAACTTTTTGTTACAATAAGGAGAAAAATGTAAAAGCGAATGTACAGAAGGGGAAAAAACTTAATCAAAAAGTCACATTCTGACAAAAAAACCCACAACAATTTGAAAGATGACAGATGTTGCTCTGAGGAGTCAGAGGCTGGGAATAACAAGAAACCTAAGGCTCCTCTTTTGGCAAGGCTAATATTCTTCAATACCCAAGAGCGTCTGTAAAAGTTTTCTCAAGGAAAATGCTGACTTTTCTAAAAATGCAATCAATGGAGAAGGAATAGTATATTCTCTGTGAACAATGGGTTATGTTCTATGCTCCTGACAGATCCAAGATCAAGCTGAATGACCAATTGCCCTGATACAGGCTTGGAACAGCTCCATCTTTGCAGCACTGATTATACTGACATTTCCCTCTCCTCCTCTGCTCCTTCCCAATCTCTCTCTCCAGGGTATGTTTTTCTTTGCCTGTTTCGAGTTACTTTCCCACTATTTTTTCCGTACTAAGGAAGGCTCAAGCAGAAACATACACTTTTTTAAGGAAGAAACAACTCCCATGCCAAATTCTGAATCCTGCATTGCTTGGACAGCTGTGAAATCACATAGAAAAATACCAAGACTACAAATAAGATTAATGAGATGCTAGTGGGACCCCAGGGTGTGGTGACAGAACTAGCACAGCCCCTTCTCAGCTACCTGGAGGAAGGGGTACCATTCAGGTCCAAGAGGAGGTGAGGGAGAGTCAGTGGTGCAGTTTGGTATTCACCTTTCCCTGGTTCTCAGGGAAGCATAAAGCGCAGTGGTCTCTCTCCCTCAGTAGAGTCCTTGTGCAATCTCACTTCACTAGGGAGCAGGTTGGGTCTTGATATCCCCTCTTTTGGACATAAACTTGTCATTAGCTGGCCCACAGTTGAGCTCCTTGAGTAGGAGACACTTCTTCAGGAGAGTAGTGTTCTGTAGGGGATTCAAGTAATGGCAAGAAAAACACATAAAGAGAGATATTTAGATGCAAGTTATGGCATCAGGAAACCATGCCTTTAGCTTTTTTAATGTTTCCAAAGGATGAAGTATTCAGCAAATACTTGCAGCATTCATTTTAATGAGTCTGTGCAATCAGAAGACCATATACTGTCTTCAGTAATAACACGAATTCAGGCACCACAAAGATAAAGTAAAAGGGGCTATTTGGAAAATGGAGTTGATTAGCTGTCATTCCTTGACTATTGCTTTTCCATTACATTTTTAAATTTGTAATTTTTGCAGTAGTTCACATGGTCAGGTGCAACAACAGAGCTTTTGCCCCAGCTAATAGTAAAGCTTTGCATTCAACAATTTATTCACTCCCTAAGGGATACTTCTTCCATACTTTTATGAAGAAAATGGATCAATGACTCACTGCTTGCCAATACAACTCACTTTGCGCTTGCTCATTTCCCTAGAACTGAGACATTCAGAATAAGAATAAATGTCTGTTCTCACCACTTCCTGTCCTGCTCTCAAAGAGAAGTGTTTCAGGGATTTAATTTCTCATCCTGGCTTTCCCAGTCTCTCTCTCTCTATTGATGGGAGTGTCCTTGTCGTGGTTTAAACCCTAGCCAGACAGCTTGTTCACTCACTCCCAGTGAGTGGTGCCCTGCTGAGAGCAATCGAACCCCCCTTCCCCCCCGGGGCTCTCCCCTTCCCCAGTCCCGGAGGAACGGGAGGAGTATTGAACGAGTGCAGATCCCACGGGTTGAGACAAGAACAGTCCAGCAACCAATGTACAACACAAATCACCACCGCTACTACCAACGACAGCAGTGATAAGAGAAAATAACAAGGGAAGAGAATACAATACCAGCTGCTGAGTCCCACCCGGAAGCCTGTGCCAAAGAAGCCCCACCCAGAAGCCCGTGCCCTTCCAAGTAACTCCCAGTTACCCCCCCTCCCCTGGCATGATGTGCTGTGGTATGGAATACCTCTTTGGCTAGCCTGGGTCAGGCACCCCGTCTCTGCTTCCTCATGGCTTCCCCTCCTCCCTGGCACAGCATGAGGCTCACAAAGTCCTTGGTCAGGGTAAACATCACTTAGCAACAACCGAAAACATCGGTATCACCAGCACTGTTCCCAGGCTGGAAGTCAAAACGCAGCACTGCACCAGCTACCATGAAGGAGAAACATGACTGCTACTGCTGAACCCAGGACAGTCCTGCAACAGGAAATGGCCATGTCATGAAAACTGCAATGTGTTGAAGGACTTCTTCCAGCTAAAAATAGATACCAGACCTATCTTCTAGGTTTTTTTCTGTTGTTTTGTATTAAATTCCACAATTTCAAACGTAATATAGAGCTTAGAATAAACTCAACCTTATATGCCATTTAAATGCAACAAACTACTTCTAACAGCTTGCTTTGCAAATGTATTTGAAGCTCTATTAAGTACTTGCCATGTTGCTCATGATGTGTCCATATTTCAGAAAAAAATTTGCTATGTGATGCATCTGCTGACTTGTTTCAGAGATTAATATTTGCATTACGGAAGCACTTGGGTGACTGTCAAGAATGAGGCCACACTAGGATCAGTCTGTGTATTCATTGTCTTAGTTCTTCAGAAGGGAAATACCTCTGAGTTAATGGTTTACTGTCCCAGAACCTCGCTGGGTTAATGGAAAACATTGTACATCATTAGTCTTGTTACCAGTGAAGTTCAAACCCAAAATGCGTAATTGTACGTTGAACTACTGTTAATCACCGTAACATTCAACACCATGTATCTGGGATCAGATATTCATCCTGTATATGAAAAATATGGTCTAATTAGCAGCTTCTAAGAGAAATGTAAGATATGCCAACAAAGCACAATGCTTGCATTTACTGTGTAAAATATGATGTAATTAGAAAAACCCTGAATGGTTTGGGAGTAAATGGCTGGAGAAGAAGACAGCTAAGAAAGCCGTAAATTCTGATTTTAGCAGTGTCTAATTTTATTTGGACATAGTTGTTACTTGACCTCTCTTCTCTGTACATTAGTCAATATAACTGGAAAACCCATTAAAAACAGGGCTCTTCAGAATTTTTTGTTCAACTCAAAGATAAAAAATTTCTGGTTAAACACATCCAAGTATGACACTGTGAGATCAGTTTCTCCTTTCTGGTGTTTTCTTAGTAATCAGAATTAAATCTGTGAAGAAAAAAAAAAAAATCATGACACCAGTGCCTTTAAAAAAAGCCTATTAATAATTGTAACTTTAATGAATGGTGTGCTAAACATTTCAAATACAAAGTTAGTGGAGCAGCACTATCAGTTTACTCCTCCTACCACTAGCAGGTCAAGGCTACAAAGAAGGAAAAGGTTAAGTTTTGGATTCGGGGAGCAGAGGTTCTGATTGCATGATCCTGCATGCCTGATACTCAAGTTTTCACTACAAGTGCAACTGAGGAAAAAGACCTGTTTCTGAGGATGCCCGTGACAAGCAAAAGGAGCACTTAAGGGGGAAGGGAAGGTAAATTTGACAGGCAGAGTGGGACGCCTTTGCCAATTTCAACAGCACCTGCCACAGCCAATGAACATCAGCTGGCCAATACAGCAGAAACTTCTACAGCAGCATCTCAGTTCAAGCCATTCATTACCAGCGCAGCTGCTGGGATTGGCATTGTAAACAACAGCATGTTGAGCATGTCAGTTTTGACGGGATTTTACTTGAAGATTTCCTTAACTTTTGATCTACTGTGGTTGAGCCCTGTGAATTTTTTATGACAATGTCTAAATCTGCCCTTCCCTGTGTTGACAGGCCTCCCAGTGTGTCCTCCAAATCATCCCTTTGTGTCCTGCTTGCATTCTTGCATTTTTCTCATCTGCCCAGCTTTTATATTTGGAACTGCTTATTCAACTTTGCATGTCAGATGTCCATTTATTTCATTCAACTTTTTCTTACAGTTTGCTTCTGTCAAAAAACAATAAATCTAACAAAGACATGAAATTATTATCTAGCTTTTACTTCTAACATTTACTTGCAGTTTTTGCCTTGGTGTGATTTTGATAATCCTACATGCAAGCTGCAAAAATCAAAATGGAAATAAATAAATAAATAAATAAAAAGAAAAGATTTGTTAAATTATAATGAGCACATTTTGATTTACAAAATTAGGCAAGTGATCTGAATCTATATTACAGTTTCAGCCGATGCTAGACAAACTGCTTAACAACTTGCTTCTAGGAATATACAAATGTTATTGCGTTAATGGAGGATTTTCACCTTCTTGACTTTGTGAATAAGCTGCTATAGACACAAGTAATTCTCAGT